TGGCCAGCTCAGCCCACCAGGGGGCGGGGCTGGCTGGCATGTGGTGCTGGGGGATTGAACCGCGGTCCCTGATGCTTTGCCAAGCTTGTTCTAAGTAGGTACCTTAGACCACTGAGCCATCTCTCCAGCCCCCATGGTTATATTTAATGCAAATAAAGTGCAAAACAGAAAAAGCAGTGATGTGTTTTAAGGCACTAACATAAGCACTGTTACATTGTCTGGGTGAGAGTGACAGGTGACTCACTCTTGACCTGTACAGGTTTTTTCAAGTTGCATTTTTGGTGGGACTATCAAAGTTGTGAACACTGAGCAGATTAGTTTTCAATTTCACTGTTGGAAGTAGTGGAAAGTTCAGATGTGGAGCTGTTCAACAGCTGAGATGTTAGCCCTTTGAAGCTAGAAAGTACTTTTTACAAGTTGGCTTTGCTGTAGCTTTACGGTGTAATTTGGCATATTCCCATTGGCTGCAAATCCGGGAGCTGATCTAAAACTTTTCAGTATGAAGAGTTTGGCTAGCCTGAACTCCATAGTGAGGGACCCCCTCAAAAAAAAAAGTTTGGTTTTTCTCCCCTTCTAATGTCATTATTGCTTCCTTTATGCTGATCTCATTTTCTTCTTTCTTTTTTGGTCGAACTGGGGATTGAACTCAGGCCCTTGCGCTTGCCAGGGAAGCGCTTACTCTACTGAGCCATCTCCCCGACCCCTGCTCTCATTTTCTATGTGCAAGGTGGTGCAGCGTTTTAAAAGGTGTGAGTGTGGAAGTTAGGAAGGAGCAACTTCATGTGCCTACCATGTTATCTAGTTATCTAGAATTACCAGCACATTGCCGTATCACATACCCCTGATCATCCTGACCTACCACAGGACTGCTTTGGAAACATGATCTAGTGTGCTCAGTGGCTATTAGGTTTCATTATGACCTGGTGAAGTCTTCAGGTCAGCTTGAGTTTAAGAACAGGCTACTCAAGAAGTCTTACACCTGCCTGGCAAGAAAGCAGGCCTGTTGTACAAGTTTTTTTTTAAAGTGCTGAGGAGCAAATCCAGGTCTCCTTGTGCTCTTCCACTGAGTGGCTCCCAGTCCTTCCCTGACTGTACCAGGTTGGAATTCGATGTTTTGTTTTGATTTTTACACAGCTTGGATTCATAGCGTCCCTCCTGTCTCAGCTTCCCCAGCAATGGGATTACTGCTATCTGCCATCATGCCTGGGGTTCTGGGATCAGCAAATGTGGTAATAGGGTTCAAACCTAGGTCCTTGTGCTTACCAGGCAGGTGCTTAGGCCATGAGCTGTCTTCCCAGCCAGAATTTGATGTTTTCTTTACTTAGATCTACTATTGTGAGCAGCAGCAGCAGTGACACCCAGTGACATTGTTAAGTAACAAGGGTTTACCCCCAGCTGCCTAGGATGTAAAAACACTTGTAGGAGCATGGGCAGTGACTGTGTTAGACTAGCTCCTGCCCTTGACTGCAGCCACGCCCTACTCAGACACAGGTCTTAAAGGCTTGGTAGCTTCCTTTTTTACCCTTTGTTAGTATTGAGTATACACACAGTTCAAGCATTTAGGAGGCCTGAGTTTTTCTCATAGACACTTCTCAAAGGATTTAACTACACAGGCTTTTACAGAAAATCTGTATAAAAAATGCCTTTAGCTGCGCATGGTGGCACATTTCTATGATCCCAGACCTGGGAGGCTGAGGCAGGACTACTGACTTGAAGGCCAGCCACTCTGAACTATTTAGAGACCCTGTCTCCAAAAGTTTCTCAGTGTACTCAGGTTGTGCATAGAACAAGTAATGCTGGATATTTGAAGAACATGTGGCTGCACTTACCTGTCATCCTGTAACCTTGTTTTGGTTGTCCAACTCTTTTGTTGGCTGAGAGGCTGACCTTCCCTCCAGTGCGTCACATGCGGACTGTCCATGAGGAGCACCTGCGCACAGCTGCTCAGCACGGGGGAGCTGCAGCCCTTGTGTGGGTGTGCCAGGTGCTGGCAGCTACTGCTCAGCTCTCCTTATGTCGTCGCCTAAGGATTTGTACCCAGATTCATAATGGAATATAATTTTTTGGTTATTGCGTATCTGTGTATACCTATCTTATGGATAGATTACAGATTAACCACTACCCTTTTGCTAAGCATTTTATTCCTGTGCATGAGTTTGCCCGCATTCCTATAATGAAACGGATAAAGTACTGATGGCCAAATATAAAGTGTTGCACTGATTGTACAAATCAATGTTTTGAGGAAAAAAAACCATTAAGCTGTTTGACAAGCAACGAGAAATGGGATACACAAAGGGTAGCATTTCATTCCTCTGAAAATACTACATGCAAGAGTTGTCTTTAAGACTAGTTTGCTGAGAAAAAGTACAGGAACTAGAGCACCCTTGAATATTTGGGTGTTAGCTCTCAGTCTTGCTAAGCAAGGCCTACTTAGGGCTGCCATTCTATCTGCTAAATGCAGCTAATGGGATAGTATGTTAAAAAACGGGAAGACAAATGTAGCACCAGGGGCCAACCTGGTAGCTCAGTAGAGTGAAAGCGGCCGCTTAGGCAGAGCGCAGAGGCCAGAGTTCAATTCTCAGCCTGTCATGCTGGCTCCGCCTGCGCGGCACTCTTGAGACAGTGAGGCTAGGTGTGGCAGCACAGGTCTGTAATCCCAGCACTTAGGAGGCTGGAAACAGGAGAATCACTATAGTGAGACTTTGTACTAAATACAGGAAAAAGAACGTAGCACCAGTTCTCACTTTTGGCCCCACTTCTGCTCTCCAACTGGTACGTCACTGGTCAGATGGTAGCACATGCTTGTAATCCCAGGACTTGTGAGCTCAAGGCCAGGCTGAGCTACAGTAAAACACGAAAATGTTACTGTGCATTTATTTGATGGGTGACCCTAGTTTTTTAGTAAAGTTCGCAGTACACAGTGCTTACGTTGTGGGAATTGGTACAGGTACAAACACATCTTGGTTCCTTCTTATATTCCCTATTCTGCTTTCCACCTTGATCCTCTGAGCAGTCCTATTTTTAAAGATTTCACTGTTTCTAAAGATAAGCCTGCATAAAACCTGAAGATATTTTAAGAGCTTCTCAGCTAAACATCAGTCACATCTCTGCGCCACCAGTTTGTGCTCAGGGCTGGGCACTTGCTCTGCCATTTCACCAGTGTGTTATATACAAGTAGATATTCCCTATCCTGCAGTTACTGTAATGTTAGAATAACTACACAATTTAAACTGTACCTGTAACCAGTTTTTAAATACTGAACAGCACAGCACTATCTGCTTCTCCAAACTAACCCTAACTGCATGAGGGACAAATGATGGGCACTCAGAGCCTTCGGCACAGTACCTGCACTGGCACAGACTACCACTGGAATGCACAGGTGTGTTCCTCCTAAGAGATGCACTCTGACCCTTTGATGGGAGCATGGTAGAGATTGTGGATAGGGAAGCAGTGCGCGGAAAAGGATACACCTTGTCCTGAACTTAAATGTCTGAAAGAAACCCCACAAAGACTATGTTTCCATTTTTATTTGTTTCCAAATATAAAAAAGTCAAAATCCTTACACCAATTATCTCAGATGAGACCATGCAAAGCAAATTGTGTACAACATCACTTCTCCCCTTCAGTGTTTCTGCTTTATACAATGGTGGGCCGACAGCACAGCAAACAGATGTCCTGTGCTTCGCTGGAAAATGGCATCTCTTTACAGAAACATGCAGCACAGTTCCTACTTTGTCTACAAGTCAATTTACAGTTAACTGCTTATTTTGTTTGTATAAGGGGGCACATGAAACTGAAATTTAGCTGCCAATTTTCTTCAGCTACTTCATAAATAAGCACAAAGGACAGTATAAATGCAGTAAACTTTGGAGAGGTGGGATAGTAGACATTATTATTCCTTAGCAGATTTAACTATTCAGGCCTGAAAGTATTGGCTTTCTCTCTGAACTTCCTTAGGACTTCCCCTGATTCTGCTGGACTGGGTTCCAGAAGAGTACCTCATGGAATTCATGTGTGAGAACTATATTCTGTTGCATACAAATTTTTGCTAATTGCATAGCCTAACAGTTGGGTTTGCTAAATAAATGGCACTGAAGATCCTGACCCAAGTGGCACTACTTAGTCCAAATGTTTCTGACCAAAGAAATTATACAATATTTATAGTCTAACTTAAGAGATGGCTGACAAACTGTACATTTTTACATGTCAAATACATAGTCCAAGATTTTATAAAATAAATTCATGCATTACCTAACAATACCATGTACAAATCTCCCTAAGTTCTTATGACAGCATTTCAGATGGAAGCAGCCTTATATACAAAAACAATCCAGTTTATCTGTTAAGTATATAATTTAAAGAAATTTCAGAGTACTGAGAAAATCAGTCTGTTGGTGATTGATAGAAAATGTTGATTTGTGGGATTTAAAAAAAAAAAAAAAGAATACATAGCCTCTGTACAAAGAAAAATACAAAAATTCTGGATGACTGTCTGATCACACTACATAATTGAGAATGGAACATTACTGCCTGAAAGTTTCTCTACTCCTTTGACAGCACTGACCTGTGAACTAGCATTTATATTTAATTTAGCTGCCTTTATGACACAAGATCTGTTTCAAAATGGCACCAATTTTTAGCAGCAATTTTATCTCTAAAGATTAACAATTTATAAAGCAAATGTTAGCTTCTACTTCATGCTCACCCACTGTAATATTTACAAAACATCTATATAAAAAATTCTTCAGCTCTGCCAGCCCCATGTGATAAAATTTTTTTTTTTTTTTTCCCTCCTCCCTCATCTCTAACCTCTAGGAGGAAGCCAGGGAGGTTCAGACAGGGTATTTATGTACACACCTTAGATGGGACACCCGTTTCTGAGTATGGAGACTAATCCAAGACCAGATCATCCTTAATTATGTTCCAGGGCCCACAAGGAGATATTGAGAGGTGCCCTACTACTGAAAGCCTGTAAGAGCCGAAGGGCAAGACCAAGGGCCTCCACTGGGATGCAGCCATCACCTACTGGCACCAATGGTTGGATGCCAGTCCTGTTTCGGTTTTGGTAAGAGTTTAACTGAGGAGGTGTCACTAGGTTAAACTGAACTGCTTTAGGAGCAATTTACACACTAAGGGAAACAGAGTTCTAAGTTATTTTTATGTAAGCGATTATAGACAAAGGAATTGGCAACAGCATGCTAAATAAATTCCATGTAATACAAATTTCATGACAATGTACTACGTGCATTCTGCTAACAGTATTTCCCTAAAAATTAACATGAGTTTTGCATTTTTATACTGTTGTCTTTAAGGGGCAATAACTTTATCTGGCTGAGGTGACAAAATATGTGATGACGCAAATGAGCTGACAGGTTCCCAAAATAGCAAATTAAAAGTCCTTTGTCAAAACAGACAAGATATTTCATAATGAAATATCTTGAACAAATCTGAAATTTTTGAATTAAAACCAGGGTGCCATAAAATTAGTCCTGGGATGGATGGATCTTAATACCAAAATGTTTTAATTCCAAGCATAGATTTGTTAAGTTAATGCTGCAAATGAGAAGACAATTTAGGGAGAATATACTCGTTGAGTAATTTGATCTCTGACAAAATAAGCAGCACTGCTTATATGGATTAAAAAAGACTGAAAATGCTGTTTTGTTTTTTTAAATGACAACCAAAGTAACACGGGGGGGGGGGCACAGTTAAGGCATCTAAAAAAAATTCCACATGGCTTTGGCTTATTAAAATATTCTTACACTATTTTTTTTTTTAAGATTTGAAAGCATCTGAAAAACATGCAAATTGTTTGAAATCCCTGCATGGCAAATTCAGACAGTTTGCGGGCATCATTCAGATGTCTGCCAAGGACAGTGCGGAAGCCTCTCCCTGAGGCGGATACGGTGGTGTGCTGGGAGGTCCTGGCCTCTGCCTATCTCACACTGGATGGCAGCCCAGGGCTCTGTGTGGTGGTCACAAACAAGGCATTGTTATCTGGAAGGGAGGGGACTGTGGAGTTCCCGTTGGTTGGGGAACAACTCAGCTTTAATTTTTCCAGATACTCTGCGTGTACGGGCTTGTGACATTGGAGAACTTTGATTGCATCTTCTACTTTGAACCACTCTCTCTTCCTTCCTAGAAAATAGTATGACATGGGTTACTATTATAATCAGCTTTTAAAAAGTAAACAAGACCTACTGATAATAGCTCCTCACTCCCCCAGTGTGATGTCTTTGTATATTTAGAAATGGCTTATGGCAGGGCTGGGGAAGATAACTCAGTGGCTTAAGTGCCTGCCTGGCAAGTGTGAGGTTCCAAGTTCAATCCCAGTAGCGAAAAAAAGGCTTATGGCTTAAACAACTAATCAAAAACTTAGGTTAAAACAAAAACAAAAGGGGTCGGGGAAATGGCTCAGTAGAATAAGCGCTTGCCTGGTAAGCTCAAGGGCCTCAGTTCAATCCCTGGTTCTGCCAAAAAAAAACCCCAAAACAAAACAAAACAAAAAAGATAGAAATTGGATATAATAGTGAGTGAAAAAGAATTCAGATACCAAAAAGAACTTACCTATATTAACAGAATCTTCCCAATCTTCTAATATTTCAGTGACTGTAAGAACATAAACATATGTTCTGTGCTTTCGGTCTTGGTTCTGCTTGAATATATAAAAAGAAAAAGCATTTTAATTTACAGGTGCCAGCTGTAGATGTACTCTCAAGGGGTGTGTGTGGCATACTCCTGAGCTTGCTATGCTTCCTGGCCTGGCCAAGAATACAGTCAACGTTTCTAGTACAGAAGAGAATCTACAGAAATACTTAAGGCAGCTACTGAAGCCTCATCACTGATGGTGAAATTAGCTCCCAATAATCAACTTCTAAAATTGTGATATATGTATATCCTTTCTTAAGATGTGAATGGAATCTGAGTAAGAACTGCACTCTTGGGGGCTGGGGAGATGGCTCAGTAGAATAGGCACTTCCCTGGAAAGTGCAAGGGTCTGAGTTCAATCCCCGGTTCCGAGAAGAAAACAAAAAAAAACTGCACTTCTGTTTCTTTTATTGAGCTTATTATATCTAACCTTTCAACGCTCTTGACAAGCTGCTTCTGCTGAGAACTGTCTACAGCAGACATTCCTGTTAAGAGCACTTGGGGGTCACCAGCTGCTTACAAAGCACAACCAGGTCCGCTGTGGCTGTTACTAGGTCACTCAGAATGAATGAATTTTCCTTTTTCCTACCAGTTCAGTAGGGATGAAACCTAAAGTACTAATATTTCGGGTTTTTAAGAAATGAAATAGGCAGAGCCTGGGCTGACAATAGTGTAACAAGGCTTGTTTTGTTGTTTTGAAATGGCCTCACTGTGCAGTTTACACTGGCTGCAAACTCATCAGCACCCTCCTGACTCAGCTTGCCAGATGCTGGCCACAGGTGTGGCCACTACACCCAGTGAAAGAAACACAAACTGGTCTTCAGATGCTGAAGAATTTTTTAACACCCCCCCCCCCCAACCAGGGATTGAACTCCCCTGCAACCTTGTGCTATCTCCCCAGCCCTGAAAACTTTTTTTAAAAAAATCTTTATCATTTGTTATAGGGTCTCGCTATGCAGCTCAGACTTGTAGTGACCCTCCTGTATCAGCCTCCCAAGGATTGGGATTATAGGCATACGCGGGGTGGCATGGCATGCAATTCCGGGATCAAACACAGGTCCTTGTGTTTGCCAGGCAGGCACTTAGACCACCAAGCTATTTCCCTGGGCCCAGATGAAGGCTTTTTAAATATAAATTCTCACTAAAGTTCAGTCATCTGCTATAGTCTTAGGTTTCAAATAACTTCCTTTTCACTTTTTTGCTATAAATAGCTTGAGCAACCTACTGGAATTGTTATGGTTTTGGGAAGGAATAAGAACAGCAATAAGACACAGGCACCTGTCACATAAAAACATTTTATCATTTTTAAGAATCAATGTTCTTATTTTTAATATTTACCAAATCAGTGTATACTGTAGTATATTCACTAGAGTAAAGGACTATTCTAATTTTCACTCAAATTTTCTGAGGTGATAGGTACATTGGAGTGACTCTTTCTATTGAACAGTATTTGAGACAGATGTAGTAGCATGTGGCTGTCATTCCGGCTCTGGGAGGCTGAGGCGCGAGGACTATTGTGAACTGGAGGTCAACCTGAGCTGCTGGTGAGTTTAAGGCCAAGCTGAATTAAATAGGGAGACCCTGTCTCACCCTTTTCCTCCAAAACAGTGTATGTGATACATTGTTACTTCCAGTATTACAAGCCTTAGGAGTTTTCTTTAAAGGCCTTGTCACTATGGAGACAAATGGGTCACTTGTATCAGTATTTGAATCAGAGGAATCTCAGTAGTTTTCAATTTAACCAGGAGATGGTGCTATGAAACTGGGTAAAATAAGTGCTCGATCTTGGAAAAGTGAACACCTGCAAGAACTTTATTACTGTATTCTAGTTAGTCATTAATTCTACCAAGTGCTACACAATTTGGATTTTTATTTTTACAGTCATAAAATCTTAAATTTGTACTATCCAAGAAGACTAATACTTTAATTATCATCTTGCAAAAGATACCCATGTTTTGGCATATTCTATGTCCGTATCTGAAATACATTGAGAATTCCTAAGTCTGGGCACCTAAGCTCTTATCTGTCTTCCAAGTGGCACCTGACATTTCAGATTCCCTCTGTAAATTCCATTTTGCCCTCAGTAAATAAACACTGTATGTAAGAGAATTCTATTCTTTCACTATCTACTCTGGTTTGGTTTTGTGTGTGATGGGGTCTGGCTATATATAGTGCAGGCTGGCCTCCATCTGGCTGCATCTTTCCCTCAGCATCCAAGTGCTGGTGTGTACCACCCTGCCTGGCTGAAACTGACTTTTGTGTCTCCCTACAGTCTTGTAAGTCACTATCTTGTCTAATATTATGTACTGAAGGCAGTGGGGGAAACGGCCCAAGTATCCCCAAGCAGCCCAACCCTCAGGTGACTAGGTGTTCTGCCCCTCAGGTATAAGCAGTGTGCTCTGGACATTTTGCCCCACTCCAGTCAAACAGTGAGTCACCACCACCAGTCACACATGACACTGATGGCAGATGTGAAGATTCCATGCTCTTACCTTTCTTAATTCTGATATCAGTTTGCCTACTGGCAGTTTTCTTTTTTTTTTTTTAAAGAAAAACTACTGTTAGCCAAATGAGGATTGATTTTGTAACTCACCTCAAATATTCCTAGGAGCCTGCCCAATTTTCCTCTGACTCCTGCCTATCAAAATAAAATGCAAAATAATTAATTTTTCATAATGACACATTTACAAGTTATATTCTGGATCTTTCAGTTTTTTACTTTAAACAGATCTTCCTACACCAAGTCACTATCTTCCAGCTTTTGTGAAGATTGCTGGCTGTGGTTTGGTATGCTTAAATGACAAGATTTAACAAAAATTAGACTACCAACTTCGGTCAAACATCAGGTATGAAGGGCACTCTGCCTTCTAACTGAAGGCCTTCCTCTGTCCCAGTGGTGCAGGTCTATGTTCTCACCAGCTCCCTGGAGGCGTGCTTCCCGAAGGAAGCTACCACATCTGCAAATCCTTCCCTGATGTGCAGCACAGCCCTTAGAGAGGACAGGCAGCGCCCGAGGCCCTGGGGACTGCTGCTGCTCACTTGCATTCTGTTTTGTCTGTGAAAGTGACAGACAACGAGCAGATGAGGCCTTGTTTTTTCTGTGTATGCAGCTGTGCCACATGTACTGACTGAACTTCAGGATCAACAGGTACAAGAGAAGTAATTTGCTCCTCACTGATTTCAGAAGTATAGCACATGATTAATGTCTGTGCAGTCCTGTTCAAAGCAATGTCATGTTACACACTCACTGCTGATCAAACAAATCTAATTAACAGGAAGTTAGGTGCTAATACAATTTTTGGGAACTTCCACACTGATTTTAGCACTGTGTATTTTACTAGGTTGAAGAAATATCGATTTAGAAAAATGCTACCTAAGGTCACATGCCTAAGACATTGAACTGAACCACAAAAAACAAAGAAAACCATTGCTGTGCTTTCCCCCTCCCCCAAGTATTCCATAGTGAAGTCCCTCACCTCCTCATACACTTCCCTCACAGCTGCGCCGCCGGGCTCCTCCTCAGGCTCCATTCCTCCTCCTGGCACGATCCACTGGTCTGGGTACCGACTGCTACTCACCAGCAACACCTGCAAGACCCCCACAGCCACATTCTCAGCCTGAGAAGTCCTATGAACACAATACCCTTAAGTCTGCAGGCTATGGCTCATGCCATGACAAGGCTTCAGTGATGTCAGAACTACTAAGTTTTCATGTTATAACATAGAGAAGCACCTGGGTGAGGTGAAACATCCCTGAATCCCAGCACTTGTGAGGCTGAGGCATAATAATTGATGAACATCTGAGGCCAGCCTGGAAAATCCAGCAAGATGCTGTCTCCAAATAGCAAGTTAAAATCAGAATTCAAATTAACATGGCCATCTCCACTAAATCATTCTGTACCTAAAGAAATAATTTAAAGTACCAGATTCAATTTAGTACAACTTTCTAATTTTTGGATGTTAAAGGCTAAAGCTAAAGCCAAAGGCATTCTTAAAAGCTCTAGAGTTGAATGCACTGAAGTTTGTGGTCAGGTCAGTTACAAACTTAAAGAACCTAGTTATCCAAAAATAAGGGTCTGTCTTGAGGCAGGACACTGTTCTCTCACCTGTAAGATATGAGAGTGCTTGGAAGATGGCAGAAGCTGTGTACAAACAACTAACAGCTTGTTCTGTTCGCATGAAGTGGAAGAGATGCCTTACCAATGAGCAAACGCTCCACTGGAATAGTCAGCTGTCCCTTACACTGTGGAAGGGGCTGGCAAAATATAAGCCACTACTTGATTCTGGGGAGCTACGAAGGTGAGTTTCACGGTTTTAGATTATGTAACATTCACGTTTCAGTGACCATTCATGGACCTATTCCCGTTAGAATGCAGTCACACCACTGTTACAAGTCTGGCCACTTCTGTACTGCAGCAGAGCGGCTGTGACGTGGACATTTATCTGCCTGACTGTGTATAGAACAAGCTCTTGGGGCTCTGTCTACGTAAGTCCTCACTGACAAAACACTCCACTGGCTTATCACAGACAAACACCCTAGGTGTTAACTACTTAACAGCACATGAAACAGTGTTACATTTCTATCTTATACATGAAAAGCTGTGTATGATAAACTGATTATGAAAGCAAACAGAGGTCTTAACCAATCTGAACATGGTGGAGAGTCACCATCCATTGTCTTATTAAATGGTTCTCCCTAGAGCAACACACCAATATTAGACAACTTCATCTGCAATGTAGGTGCGGTTTTTCTCACCTGCACACCAGCAGTCCACCTCCCCAGCTCTCTCCCTGTGACCCCAGGGTTGACAGCCAAGGAAGCTAACAGCAGCTCAGCAGCCCCCTAAATCCACAAAAGGCTGAGCTGCGTGTTCCCGTGCACTCCCTCATTCCATAAAAAGCAGCACCTTCCCTATGGATACACCTTTGCCTCACAGCAGCAATCAGGTACTGTTCAAGGGCCAGCACAACTTCTCTAATTCTGGGCCTGGACAGGACTCTTGCTTCAAAAGTAAACAACTGTATCATTCCTTCAAGCATGTAGGTGGCACACAACAGTGGCAAATCCAGAGACAGCACTGTATGTTACCATATGATGACAAAGGAAAGTACTAAGACTGTCTTTGGGGGCATTAGAAAGTCCAAATAACGATACTGGTAAGGTGAAATGTAATGAAATTTTAGTGAAATGAAATGTAAATTTAAGCCTTATATTAAGGTTTAAGTATTAGCAACAGGATGTAACGTGTTCCTACCAGCTTGAACCACTGCTAATACATGCATGATTGTCCCATTGTGAATGTGTTGTCAAAATTAGAAACTAAAGTGCCAGAGTTAAAGCAAATCTACTCTATCAGAAGACACAAGTTTGGACTAGAAGGCATCTGTGACTGTACTGATCATAACTAACATCTCAATCCCTGGTGCTTCTCAAATGCTCCATTAATTCCCTTGCCAGGCATGGCTAGTCCTGTGGGAGGTGTCTGTGAGAAGTCTCTGTCCTTGTAGGCCTGGCAGGGCACAGCAAACACCTCAGACATGGGCTGAAGCCCTCCTGCTGGCCATTCCAGTGTTCCGTCCTCAGCCTACTGAGGTGGACACACTTCAAGACCTAGGCTTGTCCCAAAGGCCACCAGCTGTGCTTGGCTTATAATTACTCAGAATTAATGCTAACAGGAAGGCAAAAAGAGACATCCCAAAGAGTGCAAGAATGTATTAAAAGTGGGCTAAGAAATTAAGCATTAGAGCTGGCCAAATAGCTCAGTGGACTAAAGCGTCTGCTCAGGCAGTATAGTGGCTGGGTTCCATCCCTGGTGTGCTGTGCCAACCCTGCTCCCTGGGGCGTGTTGAGCAGGCAACTGAGACTGGGTGTGGTACCGCACACCTGTAACCCCAGCGCTTGGGAGGCTGTGAACAGGAGAATCACTAGGAGTCCAATCTGTGTAGTGAGACCCTGTACTAAATACATTAAAAAAAATTACTGTAAAAGTTTGAAAAAGGAACAATCGAACAAAAGGCTGCCATGGTTCTTATGTTCAAAAGTTCTACTTTAAATGAGTTGAAACTGCAAATCATTTCAAAACCTTTGTATTTTATCAAAGAGGCTGGGCTATTGGTGTGAAACATGGTAGAGAACTACAGGCCATGAGCAGTAAAGGCCTGAGTCTATACACCAATCCCCACACAATAAAAGGGTTCCTGAGGACCTATGGTAATCTGTGGCCCTCTCAGGACAGGCTGGCTGCTGTTCTCTAACTTCACCTTCCCCCCACTCCCTCCCACCATTTCTAGATCCCTTTCCTGTTTGTAAAAGATCTCCTGTTTCCTACTATCTAGCTTTTATTTTGCCTTTATTTATGCTCTTGAGGTTGTTTTAGGATAAGGCCTATTTAGCTCAGGCTGGCCTTGAAATCATAGTAACCCTCCTGCCTCAGCCTCTCCAGGTGCTGGGGTTACAGGGCGTACCACCACACTGAGTTTCTCAAGAGAAGCCATGCAATATTAAAGCTTGTGTTTCTAATTTAGTTCACCTGACATTTCGGTCATTGGGGGGGGTTGGTCTCAGTGCATGGCTGGGTAAAATTCTTACTATCCAATTCTGTGCTCTTTAAGCACCCTCAATGATCACCTTCCTAATAGGACAACATAGTTGTGGCTAGCCACTGGGAAAACAGAGCATTAGTAGAGGAATTCCAAAGCCATCAGTATGCAAAATGTTAAGAGTTCTGAAAAATAAAATGCAGTGGTATGTACACAGGGCAATGACCATTATAACCCCAATTCTCCATGATAGTCTTTAAGAACTACATTTATGTAAGATTAATGTTGGGAAGCACATTAGTATAGTCTCTGTTTGCTTTTCTGAACATTTAAGCACCAAAATTTGTTTAGGGCAGTGTTGCTGGGAACTAAACCCAAGGCCTTCAGAGCTACATCCCTAGGCCTTTTCTGCTTTGCACTTTGAGACAGGTACTGCTGTAAATCTCTAAATTGCCCAAGCTAGACTCAAACTTGCTGGGCTCTGCCTCACCCTCCCAGAGGTCTTAATGACCACAAGCATGCCCCGCTTTAAACTTCAGAGTTGAAAATTAAACTTTTCTATAAAGGAGATTAAGATGTGATTAAGTTTTCTTCCACAAGCCAGAGATATGGAACACTTGAAGGACCCAATTTCACCCTCTCATAAATTGTTCAGAAAACCTATAAAATAGATCTCTACAAATGCTGAGGAAGACTTCACCTAAGATAGCTATGATGGCACACACCTATAATCCCAGCACTGAGGAGGCTGAGCGGGGAGGATTGCTTCTGGTTCCAACCAGGCTACATAGAGAAGACCCTGTCTCAAAAACCCAAAAACCAACCAAAAAAGATACAGCTTAATCCAAGAATTTAACATGTCACGAATCCCTTGACATTCTAAGACAGATTGAATTTAATCAAAGGATTAACTTCAAATTCACCTATCAATTTAACTGTTACCTAAACTCTAGGAAAAGACATAGGTGACTAGCTTAAAAAAGAGATCTTCTAATACCCACACTTTTGGTGATGGTAGATTTCAAGCCTAGCATTTTAACTAAGCCTCCTCTACTGATCTGGACTGATAGCTGTTTGGATGAAACATGCCCCAGTCCTGCCTATAAGTCAGCCTGTCCCGAACCCTGCTACTTTGGGACTTCTCATATATTGAGGATGTAGAGTTGCACATCACACTACCATAGCATCATGGGTAAGATTGAATATAATTAAAAATTGAGTTTCTCAGCCCACTAGTCATGTTTCAGGCATTGATTGGACACTATGGCTCTATAGCTCCAGAAAGATTTGCCCTGGTGACTTATTGTCCAAGAACCCTAACATTGTGACCATCAAGTGTGTTTTTCCAAAAAATGATTTAACTAATTATTTAGTATGTGTGATTTTAAAAAATGACCAAATTAAGGAAAAAATGGAAATAAAGCTTTTGTGTATAAAGGAAGAGGGGCTGGAGGGTAGGAAAATGGGAAAAAGAAGAATCAAAGTGTACCATGTACACGTACAAATTCCCCAGCTGAAATGTGATCATTCTATATATCCAACATGTACCAAAACTTTAAAACATGATAAAAATAGCCAAGCTGCTAACTTAATAAAGAGATCTGGATAGGTGTAGCATGGCTTTGAAAACCAGTGTGCTTTATTAAGTATGTCCTTACTTGTCCTGAATATTCCATTAGCAGTCCAGTGAGAGCCAGGCTGCGCTGGGGGCAGGAGGGAAGGTGGTGATTAGGAACAAGATCAGAAGAATGAACAGGACGAGGGCAAAGTCTGCAGGATGGAGCCCGGATCAGCAGCCTGAGCAGAGCGGAGGACAATCTAGACTGCCCCTCTGGGCCCCAGAATAAAAAGGACCAAGTTTCTATTTGGAGGTTCTATGGACTAAACCTAGTGCAATCACACTGAGTTACATTCTTAGCCTTTTTTATTCTGAGACAATATCTCATTGAATTGCCTGTGGGCCTAAGTTTATAGTCCTCCTGTCTCAGCCTCCCAATGTGCAGGGTTTACAGGCATGTGCTACCATACCCAGGTGAGAGGCAAAGTTT